GAATTAGATATTACCTTAAATCATTAATTGCTGATTAATATTGTAAAAGTGTTATAAAAGATTTATATTACAAGTTTCGTTTCGAGTGCATTTTTATTAAGAATTTTACCTCTAATCTGTAATACTGTAATAAATATAAGATAGCATCAGAAAAATGTTTTTGTCATTCACTTTTTTTACTTTCCAACAGGGCCCTAAATTCTTGTGTGCGCAAGGGCCCGGGTATGACCTAAGACGGCATTGATCATGGATCATCAAACGGATTCATAATAGTAGAAAGTACTAGTATACCAAGGTTGAATACATTAATGACTGTAAATTTTTTGCATGCAATCCCGATTTATATTCTGTCTGGTTGAGGAATGTTAAAACATCAATTTATGTACCTATCACCAACTTTTGTTTATACAATAAAACACTTCAGAGTGTATTTTTCCATCTTAGTCCTCAGGGGTGACAATGCATCTGCAATTTGATTCGTAATCGTGGGTAGATGTAGATGTCTATGGAACGCAGCATCCACTCACCATAAGTTGAACCGAGTGCTTGTTTGTGAAATAAAAAATTAAATAAACTTTTTATAGGGGATATTTTAAGCTATGAGGTAATCTATACGACAGGTCTTTGTTCAACACTGGACTTACAATCAAATCCCGAACACATTTTGTGTCACCTCCCGAAAGGCCCTCTGACGCCCTCAAAACTAGGACAAAAACAGGACCCGGACGGATGGTAGCTCTGTTTATGCCTCTTTTTATTTTTGTAAGTGAGAAAATGTATGGTATTCGAATTCATGTAATCGTGAGTATTCGAGTCAATGACAGGTTTTTTTTAATAACGAGTAGTGTTCGAATATTATGTTCTAAAAATGCCTTAGCACAACATTACTTTCGTAAACTATATTTAAAAAGTAAACTACCAGGCAGTGGCGAAGCTTCTATACAAGCCCAAAAGCCCGGCTTGCCGCATTAAGATGAATCAATCAATTATATTAAGTAATAAAATAACTCGTAAGCTGTTTCAAACTATTTCAAATTTCCCGCGCAGTCTGTGCAACCTCGTAGCCTTACGAATACTGCTGACATACATATAAGGAGAGTTGAATTGAGCGATTGGTTTTCTCCCTCGCACGCGTGGGCTTTTTACCGGGCTTTCGAGAAGGCGATCGCTCCCTTTCTAACCTGTGGCAAAATGTTCTATAATGAAATATAACTACGATTGTATAAATAGCAATTAGTATGGAGCTAAAAAGCCTGGCTTTTTAGTGACCATTAATTTTTTCCTCAGAGAGGGACGCCTTTAAAATTATTATAGTTCTAACACTTTTGACTGCCTTCTTGGTCTAATGGCAGTAAACGCAATTGCTGATCATGTGGTCCCAAGTTCGAAACCCGAGTCGGGTCAAGAACCATTTATTGGGTTTTTCCGTCACAAAATTCTCAGTAACAGTAGTATTACACTTATTGTATATGTTAGTATTATACTTACGCCATTATTAAAAATCAATCAGGAACCCTTTAATATAGACTTTTATAAATAAAACACATAGTTGTTTGAGTCATTTAATGATCAAAAGTGAATTCTAAACATCAAATAAATACTAATTGGAAATATCTTATGTTATTTGATAATTTATTGTAGATTAATTAAAAATTGTCACTTGTAACTTTAAATTCAAAAGTGTAGCTTTTCAGAATAATTACGTAACTAGACAAGCTATGCAAACCTGGTACGCGCGGTGTCATAATGATGGCACGGGTGACAGGGTTTGCGTGATTGTCACGGTTTTGTTTGTCAAAGCGGGACATTTTTACGTATTTTGGGGATAGCGCGACACAAACATTTAAATCGGGAACGTCCCGCCTAAAGTGGGACGTATGGTCACGTTAAGTATGAAGTTAGTCGAGAGGGGAGGCGCGCGGCCGACGCCGACGAGCCGACGATATGTTAGCAAGTTCGTGTCACATTTCAATGTATAGTGTTTACATTGTGTCAAAAAGTACTTCTACTTTGTGCATTGTATGTTGAGCTTGAGCGAATGTATTGCGAGTTTAAAATTTATGCTTTTTTAAAGATTTTTAGTGAAAATGGAGGGAAAGAGTGTTCCTTATGATGAATTGAAGTGTGTTAAAGTGCTAATCGGCGAGGAAAAGGTTAAATTTTTAAACTTTGTTGAGAAAAAACAGCTCATATCCTCGCCGAAACCAACGCCTGAACTGTGTATTTCTCAGACGAGTAAAACCCATAAACGGCAATTTAATAGATCTGTTTACAAAACTCATTGGATTGTTGGCTGCTCACATACCAATAAATTGTACTGTTGGTGTAGTATATTCTTTTCCAACGACAAAACGGCTTGGAATACTGTTGGATATGACAATCTTATCAGAAACCATTAAAAGGCATATGAATTCTCAAAAACACATGAATTCAGTAATTTGGTTTAGTAATTTTAGAAAAAATTAGATTGAAACATCTTTGTCGCGCCAGTTATCAGAGGAAATTATAAAACACAACATGCGTGTTGATCACAACCGTAGTGTTTTTCAATTGTCGATATTGTTTTCCATTTAGCACAACAAGAACTTCCTTTCAGAGGTCACGATGAGTCGAAAACTTCATTAAATAGAGGCAATTTTTTAGAACTTGTATCGCTTCTTTCGAAGTACGATCTCATGTTAGAAAAGCAATATACAATATCAACAAAGCGACAAACGGCCGAGTTATTTATCTAGTACAATCCAAAATGACATTATTCATTCTGTCGCTGATGTAATGAAAACTCACATCGAGTACGAAGTAAAATTGTCAAAATTCGTTTCAATTATTATTGCCGAAACTCCCGAGGTTAGTCACGGAGAGAAATTGTGTCTGATTCTCCGATATTATTATGGAAACGATATTCATGACCGTTTTTTGTGGTATGTAGATGTGTCTGAAAGTCGCACAGCAGACACACTTTGTAATATCATATTGGAATTATTAAACAAACATGACTGCACCACAAAACTAGTTGCGCAAAGCTATGACGGCGCAAGTGTCATGTCCGGTATCAGAAATGGAGTGCAACAAAAAGTTAAAGATATTTGTCCCCAAGCCATGTATATTTGGTGTAATGCACACATTTTGACATTAATTTTATCTAAATCTTGTAACAGGATTGGGGAAGTCAGCACTTTTTTTTCAGCCCTTCAGGCTTTATTTAATTTTTTTAATAACGGCACAAAACGGTTGTCTTTTTATGATGCACATTGCAGCAAAAAATTGCCTAATGCCCCCCGCAACTCGTTGAACGTATACGTCACGAATTGTGAATACAGTATTCGAACAAAAAGATAATCTAATTAATTTGTTTTCGGATATGTGCCACAGTCCGCAGAACTGGGACGGCGATACGATCTTGGCCGCCGAGAATTTTGAAAACACATTGTGTTCATTTAATTTAAATTTTTTTCTTTCAATTTTCCAACGGGTATTTGAAAAAACCGACTGCTTGTACAATATTCTACAAAAATCACAAGTTGATGTCGGTTATTGCAGTCATAAAATAAAGGAGTTTCAGACATGGTTACGTACTGAATTTCAGTCAGATTTTGATCACATTTATGAAAACACATTACAAAATACCTCTGCTCCTCGTTTGAGACGCAATGTGCGCTGTGCTCAGACAGAATATAAACTACTTTTTGTTTAAATAATTGATAACATATCTTCAGAAATTAATGGCCGATATTCTGAAATTTTCAAATTAGAATTTTTCCAATTGTTCAACAACAAACTATTCGAAAAATATCGTTCAGATTTTCCTTTAGAGGCTTTAGATTCATTATTTGAAATTTACATAAACTATTTTGATAAACAAACATTGAAAAACCAATTGATTTCATTGTATTCCTCCGCTGAATTAAAAGACTGCAATGTTTTCGAACTCATTGACTTTATAAACGAAAATAGTCTTGAAGAGGCCTTTCACCAAATTTTAAAGTTAGCTTATCTTGTCGTAACTATTCCAGCCACAAGTTCCTCCGCGGAACGTGCTTTCTCATCTCTGAAGCGCATCCATACTTATTTGAGAAATACACAAGGTCAAGAGCGTCTTTCAGACTTATCAATTATCGCGATTGAAAAACAGTTATTGGTACAATTAAAACGTTCACCAACATTTTAAATCTTTCCTTAAGAAAGAGAGACGATTCGATTTAGAATATAAATAATTTTTTTTTTTAATTTTTGTACATAGTTTGTACTTTTTTCATGCTTTTCTTTTGTTCATGTATTGTATTGTATGTAAACATCTTTTTTTTCGCTCAAGCAAACCCAAACGGCTTTTTTCAAAGCCACCGAAGGTATGCAATTGCTAACATGTCATACAATCTATCTAGCAGTAGTATGCCTTCGGTGTACTTTGTTAAACACGTCCTCGACAGAACTGATTATAAAACTGAAGAGTGGAGACAGATCAAGATAGATGTATTTTTAAAACTGCTAAAAAACAAAAGCATATCTTGGGCTTGCCCCAGTTTGGAGCCCTAGCTTCGCCACTGCTACCACGCACAGGCAGTAACAGGCAAAAATGTTACTATTTGGATTTGTTATAAAATAGCTCTTAAACTGTTGTCTTAAACGGATCAATTTACAGTAAAACAAGGATAATATGTATTTAATTCGTTTGTAGGTACATAATATATTCACGGAACAGTAAGTATCAAAATGCAATGTAATATATATTGTAGGTAATAATATAAGCATTAAACCTAATTTAAACAACTTTTCGTCATGTTTTTTTATACTTATTATTTTATTTTGTTCACCTTAGAGTAAGTACATAGAAAGTATGAAGGTTCTTACTCTTCGACGCTGTCAAACTGAATTGACGGATGTATCTAAATGTTATCTGTCTAGTAAATTAATTTAACAGATTACATACTAAATGGCCAAGCCTTTTTTTAATTTTTAGTGTTTTTTGCTGGAATTTTATACATTTATATTAGTGATAACAGGTACTTTAAAATCATGGTTGTCAAAGTTTACATTAGTGGTATTTCTGGTAACAAGGAGGTATGTTTAATATTAGAAAATTCCTGGGTCAACCGGGTGCCTTTCTTGTCTTCTTACTGAGTCATAAAAATTTTGTTTTCGATTACGTGATAACGTTCTCTTCTAGGTAAAAAAAAGACAACAACGAGTTTTGATGATCTTAGATTCAAAAAACATTAAATACGAGATCATTGACATCACGGAGCCCGGTAAAGAAGCTGATAAGGATTTCATGCAAAACAATGCTAAGTCTAACGGCGGCACTGTAAGTGACCCTAACCCACGTTCTCCACTGCCTCCACAATTGTTTAACGATGAAGAATACTGTGGGGTGAGTATGGTTATTATATTCTGCAATTACAATAATTAAATTTAAAATATTTCCCTTTTACTTATATAGTAAGCATCTCTTTCGACTTTCGTTACATGAACTGAGGGTAGGTCCTGTGTTTTATTTTAATGTTTATACTTTTACTTTGTCCATTTCCCTCTTCACCATTCTTTATGAACAATAGTTCTCTAATTTTCTGGAAGAAATTGGTATAAGACTGCTTATTGTACTACCTCTGTGTAGGAGACAGCTTATGCGTTCAATGTAAATTTATGTTATATGTAATAAATATGTTACATATTAGAATAGTGTTTTATGTTAGTTCACTTGCTGGTTACTCTTATGTAAAATAATATAATGAGTGAAATAAATGAAATTTCAAAATTATATATATATATATGTCTATCAAAATGATCAGCTAGTACAAACCGGGTTTTGAAACAATCATGATTTTTATTATAATACAAAATCTGATTTTAAGATATTGTAATAAATTGCAATATTCCATGAACAACTGGACTTGCACTTTAGTGTAAGCAGCTCTCCTGGTGTGTTGTGCTGCCGCATGTTTGCAAGGACAATTAACTTCCTTGCAGCTGCTTAAGTCCTAGATTCAATGAACCACCCAAAGTTCTGTTTTAGGGAAATCTGAACAACAACTAAAGGCCAGGTAAAACTATGGACCCAGTACTTGTGTGCTAGTTTGTAAGGGGAGGGGGTGAGTGCAGGAGATTGGAAAAACCCTGAAAAACATGAAGTTTTCGAAACAAAATGCATATGCCCTCTTAAGTTCCTCTTTATTTGTTAGGGGAGATTCATTTAATTCAACTTCCTGTAGATCTTGACTTCCAAATTTAACAAAAATGTAATATAGATATCGATTACTGATTATTTTATCAAACTATATTAATAAAAAAAAAACAATCATGCAAACAGTTAAATAAATCATCATTACATAATTATTACTTTGTTTTCCATAAATAGCAGAAATGATTAAAAATCACATTTTTTATAACAATACATTGGTGTGATATATTTTTAAATAAATTTTGTAAAGGAACTGTAACAACAAGTTTTAAAATTTCAGAACCGGTTCCGATGCCCTAATGCTGATTCAGTTTTAGAACAAATTCGGGGTTGGCAATAGATATCCGGTACTTGATTTTAATTATGTTTTCAGTTTAGAAGGCTTGTCAGAGTTAAGCTTGAACCTTTTACACTGTTTTTGGATGTCGGAAAAGCGTTTTCAATTAATTACGTTAAAATAAATTTCACTAAAAATTGCTTATAATGAAACGCTAATATGTCAATTAGTTCTCGTATTATAAAGTAGATATCCGGTACATGATTTTTTTAATTTTTATTTCAATTTAAGAGGTTTGTCAAGGTTAAGCTTGAACCTTTTACTGTTTTTGAATTTCGGAAATGCCTTTTGAATTAATTACAATAAATATAAATTTCACTAAAAATTGAATATAACAAAATGCAAATATGTCGATTTGATTTTTAACACAGATACACTCATAAAAATGTTAATCACTCGGACCCAGATAATCCCTTTGTGTCTGAAGATTGGACTCATATAGCAAGCAGTCAAGATGTTTTTCAAAAAAAAATTATAACGATTCACATTACATTATTTCATTTACCACTACCATAGCAAAGTTTAGGGCAACCTGACTTCATAGATACGATTGCATGAATTGGTTCTTACACCTAATTAACACACCCCGACTTACATAGTCATGTCTGCCCTACCCCTAAAATGTTTTTGTAGAGCCGTAGGCACGGAAGGAGAGCAGCCTCCGCCCGCTGTAGTAAATTGCAGGCCCCTAAGTGAGCCGTAGTGGCTGAGACTGGTCTCCGAAAGAGAAGGGGCTGCACTTCCCGCAGTGCCGAAACCATTGCAGAATTAACTTTGTGTCAATATTTCTGTGTAAAAAAGTGAAGTTATAATTTTACAAAAAAAATATTACTCAAACTATACATTTCCGCAAAGGGGAAGGGTAGGGAGGGGGTTAGTATAATATAGTAGTTAAATTTTACCAATCTTATCTATAAAGTCAGGTTGCCCTAAACTCTGCTTTGATAGTGGTAAATGAAAAAATCTAATGTGAATTGTTATAATTTTGTTTTCTGAAAAACGTCTTATCTGCTCTCCACACCAATTTGCTGTATATGAGTCCCTACTTCAGCCACAAATGGATTGTCTGGGTTTGTGATTAACTTTTTTATGGGTGTTATAATTATGTCTTTTTTATTAATATCAGTTATTGAGTTTTTCCACTAAGAAATTTTTAGTAGCTGCCCGGAGTCATGAAGTTAGTGGTGTCTCACCCCCGTGCCTCGGAAAGCATTTAAATCCGTTGGTCCTGCGTCTAATCTCTCTCCGGTTGTGTCGGTTTACTGTCTCATCGAACCATGAGAAAAAGGGAATAGAGAGTGCACCTGTGCTTGCACATACACACTTAGGCACTATAATCCTGTCAAGCACCGATGGCTAACTGTCCTTGGAGTCTGGCCGCCGAGACCAAAATTTAGTCTTGAGGACATTAATAACATAATTATAAGCAATTTTTAGTGAAATTTATTTTTATCGTAATTAATTCAAAACTAATTTCCAACATCTAAAAACAGCATAATAGGTTCAACCTTAACCATAACAAACCTTCTAAACTAAAAACATTATTAAAATCAAGTACTAAACCTCTATAGCCAACCCAAAGGCTGTGTGGTTTTATTCCAATAATACATTTTCAAAATATGAGCTTAAAGATGAGCTTTTTGCGATTGCGATGAAGAGACACACTTGTGGTTCTTCTTCTTCTTTTAAATTATGGCTTCTCTTGATAGAATTCTGCCAGTGTCAAGTCGGTCATGGCAGTGACAAGTTAATAATGGTTAAAATAAGGGTTCTCAATTTTATGAGTGGGTTCACAATCTACAACAAAAGATGTCACATATTTAAAATAACCACCAAAGTTGTTAAGTAATTTTACAGTTTATTAATATTATTAGTACAAATAAAAGCACATAAAATATTTACGAAAGGAGTATACACTAGGGTCAGCAAATATTGGAAATTTAATGGACGTGGGATGTAATTGAGCAGGATATCATATGCCCCATTTACATTCAGCCCTGTTGGGCAGGGAAGTGAGCAGGGCAGTGGGCTGACACTGCCGCTGCCGCCGCCACTGCCTGACGCTCCCTTAAGCCTCATTTACATTCAGCCACTGCTACTGGTCCTCGCGCTGCCGGCAATACTTCGCTAAATACTGCCGTAGCAGGATCGCGGGAAGTGTGTATTTACACTCTGCCCTACCACTCACATCACTTTCGGCTTTCGCCTATGGCAGACGTCGAAATAATTACAGCGTCCGCGCTGTGTCTTCTTACAATACAAAATAATGTTAATAATTTAAAAAGATATCAAGTTCAAAAGAAGATAAATAGATAGATAGAAAATTTATTTGCTTAAAAACATGGTACATAAGACCGGAATGACGTGGAACTGACATGTTTTGGCATGCAAAAATAATATGAAATACAGCTAATTACTCAAACCCAATATTAAATTATTGCATAGCTTAAAAGTTAGGTTAGGTCAGATTCACTCTATTTGAATTCATATACAGTAAATTTTCATAAATTATTAATTGAATTATTACACTATTATTACATAAATAATATTAAATATTATAGGAGATTAGTTAAGCTATTATTATTTTTATAATTACACTACAGTATAAATTAATTCATAATTTTAATTACAATAAAATTGTAATTTAAAAATCTCAGGCTATTTATGCAAATGTAACCATTTAACTTATTTTACATTTTAATAAATAAATAATCAATATGACTTACTAATTGTTTTTCGAAATAAAATGTCAATGTTCATGAATCCCTTAAACTAAATTTCATATTAATATAATAAATTTGACGAATTTGTAATTAATTATGTACATAGGTATTATGTTATCTCAAAAAGAAAATTCGTTTTCGTTGAAGATGATGAATTATGGTTTTTATCGTTGAAATAGTTTTTTCTGATTCCAGTTCTAATAACTTTATTGTATTTTCATTATTCCACTCGAAAGGTATTTTGGCAGATCATACTTATTTAATAACAAGACGGCACGCACGTCCGTTCATCCGGGCGCTTGGCGCGAAGTGAGCGATGGAGCTGAATGTGAACACTCACTGCCGCTCGCGCTGCCCGTCCTTTGACTTCCACACATTGGCCCTCCCCTCCCCGATATTGGCATTAAATGTCGGTTTTCCACACACTTGTGGTTTGGAATTTATTAAATGAACTCTTTCTTGAAACTACATAATAAATAAGGGGTGTTTTTCTTTTTGAGTGTAACAATATAAAAATTGGATTATTATAAATTAAAATATTTTGTCAAAAGTGTGAGACATGGAACAGAAATTCTGTTGTGATGATGAAGGCAAATCCTATCTTTAATGGAGGGGGCAAATGCCCATTTTAGTGGACTTTTGTGGGAATATATAGAAGATGTTTATGTAATTTATTAAATATCAAAATACATATGATGATATATATCGAACTAAATATCTACCGATTAAATATCCCCGGGTCCTGTTTCAGACATTGAACAAATTGCCTTTTTAAATAAAACTATGTTTTATAACATATATCAAATGTATTAAATTTTTATTACAGGACTATGACCAGTTTGACATGGCCAATGAAGTTGATACACTAGAACAGTTTTTGAAATTGGAACTTCCTCCAGAGGAACCGTCACAAACTGAGAAGGTACTGTTTAGTAATGATGTTGGTATGAAGATGGATGCAAAAATAAGTGATATGATTTTATTTTAAACATGTCTAATAAAACTTCTTAAACATGTCTAAATTAATACCAGAAATATGATAATATAACCACATTTTGTTCCTAAGAAACTCCCTGATGTTGCAGTCTGATAGGTTGCACCACAACTATATTACACAACTAGCTTTTACCCTCAACTTCGTCCACCTAGAACTTTAAAGAAAAGCACCTGGAAATATCTAGTAATAGTGGTGTTTGGCCAAGTAGTTCAAATATCGAAAAATCTACTTAAGTTTCACTTTTTGTCATTATCTCAAAAACTATGTGAGATATAGGAAAATCTGAAATAAAAATTGAGATTATTAATTTGACAAAAAGCAAGGTCTTATCACCTTATCCTTTAATATTCAATAATTTTATTGTAATATGAGATTGAAGTAAAGAAAATGTTAATTTTGATTAAAACTTGACTGTATTAAACCAATAAGATGTAGAACATAAAATGTTAGGAACTTGTTTTGTAAAGTAACAAACCAAAAAAGTTCGGCTCGAAAAAATTCTTATATACCCGATAATTTATGATCATCAAAAACTATTTCATATTTGATATTACAAAAACAAATTTATTTAATTACAAAATACAAATAGTGGTACCGGAATCAATAATTTACTTACCAAGCAGTAGTTGTCCCCTTGGTCCTCCATGGTCACCCTTGCCAGGTGGAATTTTTTTTTTACTATTATTAGCTTTTAACAGCTAAGTGGATGGTCAGTTTTCTTCTGTCCCTGTTACAACACTCCAATACAGGGGGTAGGGGATTCTTTCACCCCTCCACTACGCATGATCATCATCAGCCTGCGGCAGTCCATTGCAAGACATAGGTCTCTCCATAGAATATTATAACAGTAGAATGGCTGTCAACCTTATTTTGTAGGAGGATTGGTGTCGTACTACAAACACACTTTAGACTTTTGATTAATGTTTTTGACACATAAATATTTCTTTATTTTTGTTTCTAATTACAAAATATAAATAGTCTTACTGGTTGTAAAATATTTTTCTCCTTTATTTAAATTCCGTTTTCCGCTGTTCTTTCGACACATAATTATTACACAATTTGGCATTTTTAAATAATTTGTATGCAACGACGCTTGATACTAAAATTAGAAACGATTGATTATGTTGACATTTATACATGTGAATTGACATGTTAGTGGCTACACGGGCTCCGCCCACTCCCCCGTTCTATTATGTATGTATTATAGTATTCTATGGGTCTCGCCCAAGGCCCGCCACTTAGTCCTGTCTTCGGCTATACCAATTCAGTTCTTACTAGCATCATCTAAGCATGGTTGGACTATATTATACTCCTGTCTGTCAGAGGCTATAAGATATTTTAATGTATTTGTTTGAGTTGACTTTTACAACATACAAACAACAAAACTCAATGTTTTTTTTTATAGAATAAAGGTGACAAACATGTACACAGTCCACCTGATGATAAGTAGATGCTATGGCCCCATAGACATCAACATCTATACTAGATTAAAAATCAAAATGCAGATACATTGACACCACTGAATACTAAAATGTAATGCCTAGTTTCCAGTAAAAAGGGTCGCCGGTTCACTACACTCACCATATGAAATACATTAAGCTGCTATTTTACGCTGGTATTCTGTGAGAACGTGGTCCATCCCCAGTCGAGCCGACCCATTCGTGCTAAAACCATAATATAGCTGCAGCATGACTCTACCACGTAAAAAAATGTTCAATTTTTCATATTTTGGCAAGGGAGGTGACTACTCCTAAAAAGCTTTTCTGGTATTTAACAATTCAAGGATGTGTTAATTCTTTTCCTTAGCAAATACAAACCTTTGCCTCTTTTAAGTAATATAATTTTTACTAATACCATGCTTGATATTTTACTGTTTACTATATAATAACACACTCATGTTTAAATAAACTTATTGTTTTTGAAGGAAACTGCAGTCAATGGTCATGTTGATGGAGGTAAGGCCAGTAAAGAATCAAAGGAAAACTCTCAAGAAAGAGAAAAAATTTCCAATGAAACTGGAGAAAAGGAACTATCTCCTACTAAAGATGAATCTGCCGTCAAAGCTAGTTCACTCACAAGGGAAGCCACGCCGTCAAGAGAAGAAACATCTGATGCACCTACCTCAGTTGAAAACGAAGAACACTCTGAAGCAAGAGCAAATTCCCCAGCAAATGAAACCTCACTTGAGAAGGAAAAATCGCCAGAGAGACAAAAGTCAGTGGATAAAGAGCAGTCACCTATGAGCGATGAAGAAATAGCACAAAACCCTAATGACACTGAGGAAGCACCTAATGGTGCAGTAAGTTCTCGTGAACAATCCGAAGAAAAGGAAGTTGTAGAAGAACAAACAGGTAAACCTGAAAGGAAAATGGATGATCCATCTATAGCTCTCATTCAGAGTGAGCAAGCTGCTGCTGAGTAAAGAACCACCTTATTGTGCTTTTTAGCTCAAATCTATTCATTTAATTCATTTTGTTATTTATAATGCATCATTCACTACTTTAACATAATCAATCATTGTATATAATGCAAAGAGGTATTTGTTGAGAATTAATGTTATGTGGCGATGTATATTTACGTCTGTCTATGAAGTGGCCTATAATCAATTTATCATATTATTAGAGGATTAATTAAATTTTTATAAAGTTCCATATTAAGAATTCTATTTAACAATTTTATCTCTCATTAAGGCTTTGTATTATTTTAAAGTATTAATATTTGATTTTATATTTTGCACAGAAAATTAATATTAAAATACGAGATGAATTTATGTTTAAGTCTACAAATAATTTATTTTGTATGTTTAGGTTAGTTGCTTGTAAGAGTGCTCTATTTTATTATTTTGTAAATCATATATTATTAATTATACGAAGACATGACAATTATTTTAAATGTCAATGTTATTAACATTAAGCTTGAACCGAGGTGCTGACAATATTTTACAGTTGTGCAAGCAATATAAATGAGCATTCTTAATGGTAAACTACAAGGCTTGTAATTTGTTTTGTATTATTTGACCTTTTTATCACTTATTAATATCACTATTAAAGACAGATTATTTAAACTAATTTTTCATATGAATTATATAAAATGCCATATAATTTTAATTCTTTTATTTTTAAAGTACTACGCTTAAAGGAAGAAGAACATTTTATCTAGTTGCTATATTTATTTGTATTCTGTAGTTCTTCATTTATGAGTACATTACTCATCAGAGATTCATAGAAAGGCTAAACATCACACCGACTTTGGGTAATGGAAATGTCATACATGAGAAGTAGACTTGCAACGAGTAGTATATCCGGCTACACGCCGAATACCGAATATTCTGCAAACTTCCTGGCGGGATATCTGAATATTGAGCAAAAGTATAAGGCCGGGAAGTAAGTAGTGTTTATTCTTCAGAGCATCTATTCTCTGAAGCTGGGATTGTCTACGAGAGGAAAAGGCGTAAACTACTGCCTGAAAATTAAGAAAAAATTGTCTTTCTGCACCATTATCTTCCACTTTAATTGCGATTATTCAAGTGCATAAATATTTATCTGATAGTTCTTTCTTTATTTTTATAATGTGGAAGTTAGTAAATTTTATGATTACAAGAAAAAATCATTATAAAATACATAAATATTTTAATTTTACCAATTATCTGACTCCAATAAAACCTCTTACTCGGTATTCGCCGAATGGGATAAAAGTAGCCGAATATTCGTTGCAGGTCTAATTAGAAGATTTCGTAAATCTCATAACTTGATGCTACATTGATTTAATATTATTGTACTTCAACAATTTAACATTCGTAATAAAATATTGGCGATCGTAAGAATATACACATCGCTCAACACTGATCTGAATATTTTGTACTTTGTAATGTTATGAATATTACCTCTGTCAGGGGGTGCAAGATTTTATATTTGTTCTTGTAGAAATGTTCTTTTCATGGGTTTTTCTTTTTAACTTAGCCAACGACACCTACGAGAAGAATTCCACATGAATAACAGAAATTATAAATTTAGTGAGCTACATTATTTATTGGCTATTTACAAAATTATCAAACTAATAAAAATTGAAATTTACTTCTAATTAAATTTTGATTTATTTATTTTGAGAGATTATAATTCTTTTTGCAGATATTTAAATTCCTACAATACTATAATATACTCAGTGGTAGCAATTCGATAAATTGGTACCTAAATAGTAGTTTTTCATAATATTGTGTTGCTTAATTGTAGTCATGAACTATTGTTTGCTTAAACGTTATTGGTGACGGAAAAAACGTAACTGAACAGAATGTAGGTATCGAAATTTAAAATTTTAAAACCTTTTTCTATTTATGTTTTTATATCTTTACATTAATGAATGAAATGATATAAATTTTTATATCTTTATATTAATGAATGAAAATTGCGCTTATGAAGTTTAAGCTATTTGTTAAACTCTATTCGGAAATTCATATTTCAAATTTTATAGTAAAGCCTTCAACGAAATTACATTAAGCATTGTTAGTATGTTTTAGTATGTTTTCTAAAAGCAATTTAGTGTAGGTAGTTAATTAGTCATCATGTAGAATTACATATTGTACGGTTTTATATTCTATCCTATACCATTAAGTCTATTTAACAACTCGCCCAGAGCAATTTTTGTATGTATATATATATATATATATATATATATATATATATATATATATATAATCGAGATCTCGGAAACGGCTCCAACGACTTTCATAAAATTTAGTGTCCAGGGAGTTTCGGGGGCAATAAATCGATCTAGCTAGGATTTATTTTTAGAAAATGTCCTTTTGTCCGTGTTTTCAGGGAATAAAAAAACTGCTACAATATAAGAAGGTAAATTTTGACAAGTAACCAACGATCGTAATAGCTCAGATGGGATGTTGTTCGGGCGTGATATCGGAGTTCCGTGGTTCGCGTCCCGTCTTGGGTGACATTTTTCCTTTTTTTTCAAGTTCCCTTCTTTTGTGAGAAAATCTATAATTTCGAGCCCTTTTTTTAGTATTTTTTAAAAAACGAAAATTTTAATTTACTACTAACTAATTAAAATCAATGCAATCATGATTTTTTATTCAAATAACCAGTTCAGTTTTTTCTATTATGTCAATAAGATCAAAAACTATTATTCATGTAATTTGTATATAAATGTAACTTAAAAAAAACCGAGCAAAGCTCGGTCATCCGGGTACTTATATTTATAGAAGAGGGGCAACCGAGTATGTGGTTCACCTGATGGTGAGTGAGTACCACCGCCCGTGAATGTCCCAGTGATATTGGTCGGAAGAGCGCTGGCGATAGCTGAACTACCGAAGTAGTCGTACGAGGAAGAAGACTTCTGGCAAAAAGAACCGCACAGTGGTGAACCGCCACACATCCAGATGGATTGGTATTGAGAATTTTGTCGCGATGTGCGATATTTTTTGTTTTTAGATAGTTAGTAATTTGTACATTCTAGAATCTATTATTATCAAATTAGTCTGCTATTTGATACACATGCCTAAATTTATTTAAGTACTACTTGAACAAAACAATTACAATTAGACGCATGACTGGCATGTGGTTTCGATGTCCAGATCCCGCTTCTTCGCATTTCCTCTATGACTCGTAACTCATTCGTGTACTCGCTCTCGACGGTTTCGTACTCGCATAGTACATCTTTAATATTTCTTGAAATTTTTTATTTCTTAGTTTGGCAGTAATGACTCTGTCTCACTCTAATACATGATTTTGAAAAGTCGGACATTAAAAAGGCCAATTCCTGTATTAAACATACATATATTCCTGATAAAATGTTACAGACGATTGTTGTACCTGTCGTTAAAAACAAAACGGGTGACCTCTCTAATATCTCCAATTACCGTCCTATCTCTCTAGGCACGATAGTAAGTAAAGTGCCTGAAAGACTTCTACAGCCCGAAATTGTGAAACATCTTAAGTTTATGAATAAAACCAATCAAAATCGCTAACTCTTCCATCTCCTCTCTTAAAAAAAATTGATTTTGTTATTGTAATAAAAAAATGTATAACCAATTATAAACTTTGTTTCCTGGTAGGATTAGGAACCTAAAATTTTTTCCGAATACACATAAAATAAAATTATATACACATAAAATAAACACATAAAATACACAAAAAATAACACAAACACACATAAAATAAAATTATATACAGGATGTTAGTGTGAACACCGTTATCCTTGAAACCAGTGGTTTGGTTTCACTTATAGAACGTAAATTCAATGAATTTAAAAAAAAATACGCTATTTTCTTTCATAAAATTTAAAAAGTTTCTGTTCGACACCGTCCGTAAATTCATGGATACCCTATGCGCCCGGATGACACAAAATTCCAATAAAAACACAATAGCTATACATAACCTGTGATGTAACTTTTCCTTCATACTTTCATCCTGGCTTAGGACAGGCAAAAATTGAGGAATTAAGGAAAATTGAGATTTTACTTTTAAATTTTTTTTATTTTTCATTGAATTTACGTTCTATAAGTGGAACCAAACCACTGGTTTCAAGTATAACTGTGTTCACACTAACAACCTGTATACATGTCATTAATTTGCACTAAGTTCAAGTATCACTCTGTGTTCAGATGATTTGTGTTTGTTATTCTCCTTATTGCTACTGATTAATTGTTTTAAGTGATGAGGTATATTTGTACAATGATTCCATTGTTGTTTTTTTTTAATTCTAGACTCTTTAATGACATTTAATATGCAAATAATAAATTGACAAACGAACTTCAGCCCACTGCCACCTGATGGTAAGTGGCGACTACAATCCATGGAAACCTGTAACCAATTTTAAACGAAAAAGGCTACATATATGTTATCATCTCAGAGAAATAAAGGGGAATGCCTCACATCCTATAAATATAGTGGCTCTACACACTTCGGACGGAAACACAGTGGTACAAGCACTGCTATTTTTATGCCGAAATAGGTAAGAGGGTACCTACACAAATGGGAATGGAGTCCATTTGTGTAGGTACCCTCTTATCTATTTCTTTATTTCCAATGTCAAATAATTCAATTGAAAAGTTCATTTATAATTATTATTGTTTTTTCACGAAACAATGAGACTAATTGTTAATATAGTAAATCATGTTGTAAATTAATTTGATATTTTTACTGAATTTAATAAATAACTCACATTGAGATTTATGAATAGCATACCAGAGAACATGGCCCAACGTTATTCCGGAAAGATGGCACACATATTTGATGGCCGGCCTCACAGCCGTCTACACTCTTCACTACACGACAGACCACGATCTGCCCGCAGTGAGAAGAGTACTAAGCGACCTTTTCACTTTTACATTGCAAAAATTAGAATAATATATACCTACATATGTGTAAATAAAACTACATTGATATAAAGCGTTAAATGTTTATTTCCACAATTATTTTGAGCAAATAATTTTTTTAACAATTTAATTACATATTTAACTTAATATAAATATGAATTAACATTTTATAAAATCTATAATGGAAATGTAGAAAGTTCAGGTATCTAACGCACTTTGTATTACAAGTACTTAAAAATATCTAATGCGTAAACAGAAATTAGCCTCTATACTAGATATTATAATACACATTCATATACTTTTTTTCAATGCCGGCGAAGGTGGGGAGCTAAAGTTTTGGAGCCGACTGTCACTGGTCAGTTCTGGTACGTTTCTGTACCGAAGTTCGTTATCTGGAAGCTCATCAAGCATTCCCGCTTGTACATTTTTATCTAAAGTGACTAATCGTTGGCGCGAGTTTTTATATTCTTCTATAAGACTCAGATTCCTTTTTATCCCGTCTACTAATTTAACTACGGAGTATTCGCCCATCGCTGCACCCTCTTGCAGCTTGGAGCCGGCGATCTTGGCCATGGAGGAAGTCTTGACGTCAGTGACTAACTGGATGAACCATTGCTTCAGATTGTTCAGTACCGTCATCGGCCCCTCGTACTCGTTGGGTACAATGCCATCAACTTCGGATTCGAAGAAGGATAGGAGCGGAAACCATATTCTCGTCCTGAAACAATTTAAATATATTTAGGCAGGCTTCTTAGCCGCGTGGTAGCAGCGTTAGGCTCTTTTTACACACACAAACAAACACACACACACACACGGTTCCCGTTCGGGGTTCCGTGTCGGTGAAGTAGTGTAGACATTATTAAATAAGATACCACGATCGTATCATGCCGTGATTGTAATGTAGCTGTAAAAATTAGAGATGGGCCGAATATGAATTTCACTGAATACGAATATTCGGCCGAAAGTTCGATAAAACTTTTACCGAACCGAATATTCGATCGAACATTATTTGGCGGGATCACCTCGGTACCTAACCTATTTACTTCGAAACTTGTCATCGTAAAGCGCGCGGGATTAGCGCCGGACCATGCTGCTTGCTCCCCGCCACACCTGCTTATGTTTTGACTATTTTTGTGAGAAAAAAGTATTTTGTTGTAATATTCTTATATTGAAAATTGTTAATTAGTATACGATAAAAATAAGCGGCAGGAGACCTACTATTTGGACTTATTTTAGAGAAACTTCGACCAAAGCAAAGTGAAATGTACTAATGTATGATACTCTGATTCCAAAAACATTTTATCAAGCTTTGTAATTGCTATTATAGGAAATAAATCTACAGTGCTTCAAAAACATAACGCTATACAAGTAGATTTATCCCATAAATAAAATACACTTTCAACAATAAAATTATGTAAGACATGGCATTACTTAATTCGTATATTTCAATACAGTGGACACTTTAACGAATGTTCGGTGATTTAGCCGAATATTCGACCGAATACCATTGATATAAATCAATGCCGAATACGAATATTCGGTTAAGGTGCCGAATACCGAATATGAAACGAATATTCGGCCCATCTCTAGTAAAAATTCACGCGGTATCGGAATCTTTATAGCAGACGCGTGTATAGTGGTGTTGCGTTCTTATACGATTTCATGCACAAGCTCACGGAACAGACACGGCAGGGTACAGTCGTCGAAAATTCGTTTTAGTCCACTAAGCGTGGTTATGACCAATGTTTTACTACTTTGGAAGATACCCATGTCATGTAGTAAACTTGTACGGACAGATGAATATGAGTAAGCATATTTCTATTAAATAAATTTAGAATCATATGTAGGTGATTATAACGTGCAGTGACAGTATCATTGGACCCGTCACCCCAGCTCATCCCAGCAGTTTCTTTGGAGTCGACCACAGCAAATATTTAAAATATTTTGAACGATTTCATGACCACTTCCTAACAGCCATAAATTAATAACTTATAACTGCGCAGGAGATAAAGAGCCACAAGTTTTGGGGTATTTTAAGTTTTCCGTCGAACGACCAAGTTATTGTAACATTTTTGCGATATAGGGATGAAGCATAAGGAATAGTGGCACAATAGAAATAGATCTAAAAACAACGTTCAGTCAATATATAGTTTTCATTAATTCATTATGACTACCAATGTCCTCAGCTGATGAATATAGGCCTCACCATAGATTGCCTTATAGGGGAAATATTTGGATAGTTGCCATATTCGGCAGGCGTGTTAGCTACTGCGATATTAATTTTTTATTTATTAGTAGGAAAACGCTGCTGCCTATCTCCTGGTTTGTTTCCCACTGTCGCCTCATTCGACACCCACGGGACGATATGGGGTAGTGGATATTCTGACACCGCCAAATATATTCTTTCTTAACTGTTCCTCACAAATTTGCCCGCGTTTTCAGTTTTTGCACGGAAACCTATTTTTTTTTTAAATAAAAGTAGCCTAAGTTACTCCTTACAACATCAGCTATCTGCCAGTGATTCCCGTCAAAATCAGTCGAGCCGTTTCGGGGATTAGCTGGAACAAAAAGTCAGACAGACAAAAATCTTATAAATTGATTTTTTGTTTTAAGTACATTATATATACATATATATATATATATATATATATATATATATATATATATATATATATATATATATATATATATATATATATATATATATACTATATATCATATAGTAAAAACGTATATACATTACAAACATACACTAAATATTATTTATTTGTATAGATGAACATTGGTGTTACACTTATTAAAGCCGATCTTTTTACAAAGAACTTTGCCGGTTTGGTAGCGCAGCAGAGTTTGGCTGCAGCGATACGGGCCACGGGTTCGAATAAGTATATTTGTTTGATCTACAAATAATTGTTCTAGATCTGGATATTTGTCCATGATTAAAGTTTGACAATGCATCCTAGTAAAGTTAAAACAAATAAAAAAACACCTTTGGTCTCAAATAGTGATACAATGAAATTAAAACGCACGATAAGTCAGTACAAATAAAAGTAAGATGCAAAAAATAAACGAGTTACCATAATAAGGTTCAAATAAATTTGTGAAGGAGAAAAAGGCATAAGAAGTGGAATAATTTGTATGATAATCGTTGGAGTAATAAATGCAGTCCAAAGCGGCCTTTCATGTGACAGGTAGTGAAGACGCTGTACAGTACGAGGGCGGCACTGAAAATTTCAGGAATCAAGGAAGTGACACAACATTACTATTTAAAAATGTATTTATTGCTTTTCGAAGTATTCTCCGCGAAATTTGACACATTTTTCCATACGATGGAACCAATCATTGAAGCAACCATTCCATTCGGAAGTTGGGGTCTCCAAAATGGCCGTTTTGTAGGCGTCCACAGCTTCTTCAGGTGATGAAAATCTCTGTCCACGCAATTTATTCTTTATTTTAGGGAAAGTATAGAAATCAGCTTAGGTCGGGGCTGTACGGCGGATGTTCTAATAATTATATGTTTTCTTGCTCTAAAAACTCTTTTGTTCTGTGTGCGGTGTGAGAACTCGCATTGTCGTGATGGAGGATGATGCGGCGGTTGCAGTTCTCTTTACGGAGTTCAGAAACGACCTGTGGCAAACAAATGCTAGCATACCATTCTGAATTAACCGTTCTTTGTCCCTCAAGAGGAATAGTCGTAACATGGCCGGTTTTAGAGACAAACGTGGCCACCATTTTTTTGCAACACTCCGTGAACGTACAATTTTTGTTGGCTTTAACTCATTTTCGAACAGCCAAACTCGTGACTGGTTTTTTGTTTCGGGTTCGTACGCGTATACCCAGGATTCGTCACCTGATACGATGTTGTGTACAGCATTTGAGGATACCTACTGCGTGGAATCTTTCGAGAGTTCTGACGCACCAACGCGAGCCGCTTTTTGCTCTTCACAGAGCGAATACGGTATCCATCGGGAAAACAACTTTTTTACACCTAAATGTTCATGCAAGATTATTTGTATTTGACTCATGCCAATGTCTAAAGTTGCATAAATTTCGCGGTATGTCACATGTCGATCTTCCACAATCAGCTTACGCACAGCATCAACGTTTTCTTGGGTGACTGCAGTTTTTGGACGACCTTGACGGGGATCATCACTGAGCTTGACACGTCCACGTTGAAATTCAGCAAACCAGCGATAAATTGTGGTTTTGGGTGGAGCTTCATCATCAAATGCAGAAATCATCCGGTCAACACGCTGTTTTTGTGTTAAACCACTTCAAAAGTCATAATAAATCATCGCTCTTGAATTTTCTCGAGTCAATTGCATTTTCTCAACGACTAAACAAGTTTGACAAAAGCTTGTGACAAGACCGAGAATCTTTTTTTAAATAAATAAATGGTATTCGATTTTTAAAATCAAGGAGTTTTCAATTAAAAAGATTTTAATACGGCAGGAACAGTGGAAATATTCCATTCCCGATATTTTTAGTGCAGCCTAGGTACGCAGAATAAAGCAGAAAGAAAGTAAATATTTCTGTGAAGGCGAATCACCGGTAGCCACTTGAGACGTTTATGAAATTCTGAAATGAGGTCATATTTACGGAGCCCTGCCTTTTGAACAATCTATCGCTCGTATCCAGGGTCAGCGAACTTCACGTGCTGTGACTACTTACCCAAATGCTCGTCATAATAACACGCATTCATGCAGCATTACATTTATGCATTTTATATTTATGAGAGGACATTGTCCAAAATTTATTATAAAAGGAGGAGAATGAAACACAAATCTATCTGAAAAGTACCACGCCATAGGTATGCAAAAAAAAAAATAAAAAAAAACCACTGTGTGACATTCCATCTTAGTCCTCTGAAGTGATACTTGTACGAGGGCGACACTAAGTTTTTAGAACTGGCCACTTGTAAACAATATAATAAAAAAATTAATTTGAAAATGGAACTCTTTGCCAATACTAATTTGTCATTTGTTTACGATTTGGCGGCAAATTGTAAATTGTCTATGTCACGTCAGCATGTATTTAACGCGAGAAAACTCGTATGTACAATGATTTTTATGACTCAATGTCATTTAAATCGACAAGAAAGTTACGATAGACTTCGATTGGCCTTTCACGATGAAACCCCATCTCGTGCCACTGTTTACAACTGGTTTAATGAGTTTAAACGTGGTCGCACTAATCTCACCTCCGATCTGCGTGTGGGACGGCCTTCTACGGCGACGACTAAAGATAACATCAGTGTTGTGCGGCGTATGACAGAGACTGACAAGAGTGACTTATTAGCAGATAAGATTAAGCTTAGGCATCGGTAGGAGTCAAGTGCACAAAATCCTTCATGAACATTTAGCCGTCAGAAAGTTTTGTGCCACCGGGGATACCGCCATAATTTGACAGAGGCTCAAAAACTCGGTCGTGTTGACTGGTGTCGTGAAATGGTTCAAAGATTCGGAGGTGACTCAAATGTTGTGTTCGACATACTTACGGGTGACGAAAGCTGGATTTATTGTTATGATCCTGAAACCAAGAGACAGTCTGCTGTCTGGTTGTTTCTTTCGGAGGAGTGCCAACTAAAGTAAATAGAGGTCGAAGCGCGGGAAAAAAGGTGTCCTCGTTCTTCGGAAGGACAGGTCATTTTCACGCAACAATTGTTTTAGAGGATCGAAAAACAGTTACTGCAGAGTGGTGCACTAACAATTGTTTGCC